CCCCCCTGCCGAGGGCGGGTGGAAACGAGGTGATGGTAAAGAGCCCTTTGTCCAGGGGTGGACACACACACACACACACACGTCATTTGATATCACACGTCTCAATTCGGGTGGGGGAATCCATGGCAAAAGCCACCACCTCGTTCCGATTCCGCGGGAGATCCGCGAGCGACGCTTTCGCACGGAGCGAGGAGGAGCACCGCAACTGAGTCGCTTCCGCCACGGAATCGACAGAATCGAGTTGGTTGGAGCTCTCAGCGGGTTTCTCATATAGCTATATATATATATATATAGCTGGCAATTGATGGGTGACATCGGAAACGTCGGGTACATCATGGTGCATCCCCAAAGAAAAAAAACATGTTAAAGAGACCAAACTCGGTATAGAGTGTCTGCCAAGGGTTCATTCGCTGGCGGGCAAGGGTTCATGTCTTCGGAGGACTTTGGATGCTAATATCTGGATGCAAGTGATGTATGACCCGTTGTGTTTGGGCAGAACATGACCTTCGAGGGTTTTTGGATCTCAAAATCTGGAGGGGGGACCCAAAAACCATTCTAAAGAAAAACAGAACGCCGGGCCGGAACACATACGAAAACATCCTTTGACCTTTTGTATCCTTTTTTGCAGGTCATTCCAACAGTTGGACACGTTTGTAGCAATACGGAAAACGTGTTTCTGTCCATTTGGAAAGGATGTTTTTCCCTCCAGGTGGCTGCCACCCCAACGGAACGGCACGGTTTCTGGTCGAAAAGAGAGAAAGGAAGCCGAGAGAGATCCTCACATTAAATAACATGTATATATATATATATAGGCATGGGGCTGTTGGAGGGATGATTCACAAGGTCTCGATTATATATATTTTATACTTTAAGCTCCATATATTGGCTCCCGCGCTATATAGTCCGGTTCAAGTCGAGAAGCAATAGCAAGCCAAACCACCACACATCCAGTCTGAACTTGGCAGTCAGGAAAGTAAAGGCTTGCACCTCAGTTGACAGTGTAGACCCATGTTAACACCCCCAGAACCGTTGCTCCATCGCTATTGCAGCCCAAAACGTTCATGGCCAACATTGAAAGGCTTCAACTCCATACACGACTGTACACACAAATCCTTTTCCTCTGTATAATGAGGCATTAGACTCTTGGCTCATCACAAGTTGTTGATCTCTGCCAAGAACGAAAAAGGTGTCTGAAATCCATGTGGCAAAAACATTCTTTTTTTTTCCTGAGAACATCACAGGAAGTCAACGTTCCAATCGTTGTCCGATCGGTTCGGAGCGGGGGCGTCGGGTCGGGTTGGTCTGCACCCTCCAATCGTTGAGAAAACCAATCCACTACGCGACACTCTGTGCCTTATTTAGGTGGCTGAAACACTTGGAGGGAACCACTGTAAGCTGCAACCTGGACCAAGACCGACCGAAGACGGCTCCGGAGACCACCCTTCGGTGGAAGAATTGCCCCCAATCACAGGGTCCAGCGACTGACGGCGGAGACCGCGGACGATGGACATGGACTTGAAGTCGCCGGCGTTCTTTTTGGGGTCGCTTCGACGTGAAACGTTGAAGGGTCTCGTTTCGTGCCACCTTGAAGGGTCTTGATTTCGCCTGAAAGAAGAGTCGGGTTTCCTGTGAAGGTTGGGGCGGTTGAGTCTAAGTGAAATCGGTGCTTAATCCTGGTTTGGCCTGGATGGATTTCGTGGATGCTACCTCTCAAAATCACGGAATTTGGGGTTAGGCCTTCAAGAGAAGCATGTCTCCCTCACGTGGTTCATCGTATTTTTGTTGTTCGTCCCAGGTCCCGGACCGCGCCGCGCTGGCGTTGCGGCGTCAGTTGGGGCGATGAGAAACACCAGAGTCTATAGCTATGCCTAGCATTGCCTAGCTACACTGACAGTGGCAATGCGCGCCCTAAGAAGGGGCCGAGATCTCTTTTGTTCTTCTTCCTGTTTGGGGTGCACCTGCGCCGAAGAATTCGCCGTGGCACCCACGCGGAATGCTGCTCAGCACTCCACTGCGGGATCTTGATGACCGCAATGGTGCAGGTCACAAAAAAGCTGAGGGCGAAGACCTGAAGAAGCGGACGCAAACCTATCTACCCAATAGCAATGGCCCGCAACCCAATAGCAATGGCCTGCAACCTAATAGTAATGGCCTGCAACCAAATAGCGATGGCCACCAACCTAAGAGCGATGGCCTCCAATCTCATAGCAATGGCCCCGGACCTAAAAGAATGGCCTCCAACCTAGTAGCGATGGCCTCCAACCTAATAGCGATGGCCTCCAACCTAGTAGTGATGGCCTCCAACCTAATAGCGATGGCCTCCAACCTAATAGATGGCCTCCAACCTAATAGCGATGGCCTCCAACCTAAGAGCGATGGCCTCCAATCTCATAGCAATGGCCTCGGACCTAAAAGAATGGCCTCCAACCTAGTAGCGATGGCCTTCAACCTAATAGCGATGGCCTCCAACCTAGTAGTGATGGCCTCCAACCTAATAGCGATGGCCTCTCCAACCTAATAGAGATGGCCTCCAACCTAATAGCGAAGGCTTCCGACCTACCAGCAATGGCCTCCAACCCAATAGGGCCTCCACCTAATAGCCATGGCCTCCAACCTTATTATAGCAATGGCCTCGGACCCAATAGCAATGGCTCCAACCTAACAGCGATGGCCTCCAGCCTCACAGCAATGGCATCGGACCTAAAAGAATGGCCTCCAACCTAGTAGCGATGGCCTCCAACCTACCAGCAATGGCCTCCAACCTCACAATGGCCTCGGACCTAATAGCAATGGCCTCCAACCTACCAGCAATGGCCTCCAACCTCACAATGGCCTCGGACCTAATAGCAATGGCCTCCAACCTAATAGCGATGGCCTCCAACCTAATAGAGATGGCCTCCAACCTAGGCTTCCTACCTACCAGCAATGGCCTCCAACCTCATACCATAGCGATGCCTCCAACCTAATAGCGTTGGCCTCCAACCTACTAGCCACGGCCTCCAGCATTTCTTGATATTTCTTGACACACGATGGACCTAATAGCGATGGCCTCCAACCTCATAGCGATGGCCACCAACCTGATAGCATTGGCCTCCAACCTAATAGAGATGGACTCCAACCCAATAGCGAAGGCTTCCAACCTACCAGCAATGGCCTCCAACCTAATAGCGAAGGCTTCCTACCTACCAGCAATGGCCTCGGACCTAATAGCAATGACTCCAACCTAATAGCGATGGCCTCCAACCTACTAGCCATGGCCTCCAGCATTTCTTGATACTTCTTGACACACGGTGGACCTACTGTAATAGCGATGGCCTCCAACCCAATAGCGATGACCCCTCCAGCATTTCTTGATATTTCTTGACACACGATGGATTAATAGCTATGGCCTCCAACCTCATAGCATTGGCCTCAAACCTACACCCTTTATGGTGCTTGCTTCCTTTTAGAATTGGGGGATCTTTTTCCGTCTCGCGAATTGGGGGGCCTTGTAGGTGTTCTTGCAATGATTCAGTGTAGTATCTGTTGGCTTTTGGACTTTCATCTACTGCAGAACGATGGTAGATGTTTCATGATTTTTCTGCCCATGTCTGTGTTTCATTCGCAATCCCCCATTTTCTCCGCGTTCCCCTCAAGCGCAAACCTGTGCCCACAGGCTGAACAGCTGTTTCCTGGGGGTGACGAAACCTCAGAATTGTTGTGCCAGGCCACCATCAGTACCTTGGCTAGTCAAGGTAGCTGGCAGGATTGAAGGGAAAGGGCCTTAGAACTAAAGATTGTAGTTTGTGGTGTCGGCAAGCAGGCACCTCCAAACACAAGCGGAAGAACACGAAGAGGGCAAGAACGCCAACATTGCAGCGCACAAGGGAATGACACATTTCATTACGCGCTTAACACACGCACTCGCAACTGGGGAGCGTTTTTGAGGCATCAGATCATTGATCTTTCGATGAAACAGCATGATCTCGAGAAGGAACCCGAAAGGCAAGTAAGATGATTACCATCTCTCTTGCTTTTCTTGCTTTCTCTCTCTCTCTCTCGTGCTACAGACAGGAGGTCCAACATCTTCATGATTAGATCATCGATATCACGGACATTGTGGTGATAAATCTCATTCTCTCCTGGTACAGTAGCGGATTGGTCGAAAATAGTCTCCCCCGATTCTCCACAGATTCTCTTCATGTGAATTCCCAAGGACCTTTTTCTAGAATATGATAGAATATCATAGAATCAATTTCGAGCCACCTACGAGGAAGAATATGATCGACGGTGTCGACTTGACTCGTGGATGGTTGAATTCCTATATTTTTGAATGTTTCTGAGCTGTGAATTCTCAGTTTAATTGCAGGATTGAATCAATTTGAATCAAACAGTTTCTGAACCAAAGTTGCTGCATCGTACTTAGTCTCTGAATTGTTGGGACCTAAACATGCCGTACGCAGCCGGCCCACCTGGCCCACTACGCTGCCAAGAGACCATTCCAACAGCCACCATGATGATCTGCTCATGGTCTCCGCAGAAGGTGCCGGTATACTTCACCAGGCTCGACTTGCCATTGGGATGGTGGTAGCACATGAGCGGTTGTAAGGACACAGCGCTCAAAGTGGCAAATCCCACCGTCAGCAAAGCACCAATGGTGTTGAAGGTCTTGTAAAGCTTCCAGGGTTTAACCTTGGAACGTCTACACATAAAAATTGGATGTTCATGACCCCTGGACACCTGCTGCGCGACACTTCGCAGAACACGACCTGGGATCTGTCTCTTCCTCCCCACACGATCTGAATTCGTTGGATCGGAGTGGGATTCGTTGGACATCGTGAGCTGCTCAAGGCTCAGAAAGGGTGCCAGGAAAATCGCGTTTCGATCAGCTTCTCCAGCCTAGCAAGCTTGGCCCCAGCTTGGCCCCCAAAAAGGCTCCCAGCTTAAGAAAAACACTCCGAGGTCCAGCTTAGGCACTCCCAACTTCAGTCTCTCTGGCCAGAATGTCGGACAGCTGTAGCAACTCTCCAGTGGTTTCAGCAGTGGTGATGCCAACCAGCGGGAAAGCAAGAAGATCGAAGCAAGTGGGAAGACTAATCCACTGGCAAGAAAGCGCATGAAATTGCTCTTGCCGGTGAGGCAGCCTTAGCTTGGACGGAAGGCTCCTTGGACGACCGGTACCACCATGATTGACAACAAATCCAAAGGGAAACACCTGACTATGGCTTTGGAGACTGTGCAATTGGGTGGGGGGCACAGCCCAAGGCAAGCGCTTCAAAGAACAATGTGAACACCCAAATGGGTCGTGCTTGGCAAAATAGAGTGCGTCCTGCTTGACAACCCGTTCATCAGACTTCAGGGCTCGCCTGTACGACGGAGTCCAACAGTGACTCAGAGGCTCACAGCAGATTTCGATTTGCAAAGAAAATCTAGCTGACATGAGTTCCTGGCAACTGCTACTTGAGGTTTGACTTTCTGAGTTATTTGGGGATCCGTCATTCCTGCTTGCCAAGTATTTCCTACTTGCTCACCTGCTCGCCCTTGCCATCAACGACACCCTGCGGAGTTCACATAACTGTCAATAGCACTATGACAACGTTCAATCCCTTCACTTCGATGATTGCACTGTTGTGTTCTCCATTATCTCATATTTTTAACCAAAGATCCAAGAAACAACAGCCGCGTCCTGCGACCGTCCAAACGATCGTTCGCGACGATCCGCCACGCCACCGAGGCCCAACTGATCCACATCCAACAGGACCACACGTAAGGACTGGCTGGTGACGCTCACAGAGGGTGACCATCGCACAGACATCAGTCCGAAGATGGCCATGTTCTGAACCTCCCAAAGTCCGGACAGACGACTTGACGGACGAACGAGGGTGTTCAGCTTGTTTCAGGCGAGGTTTCAGGTCTGTTTTTAGAGAAACAGACCAAACGGTTCAAGTTTTGCGGGAGAAGCCTCATTTGGTAGGTGCCTGAGCCCTTCAAACTCTTCCACCATCAACTACTCATGTAGACTTATTATGTATAGATGATTACAGAAAGTTCGTCTACAGCCGCCCTCAAAGGTCAAAAGGAACATCCATCGACGCAACTCGGTTGAGCTGACGGTCATCGTGCAAAGGACGCAGCGCTAGTCACGACCAAGAACCACGTTGATGCCAATGCCAGCTGCGAATGTGCATGCCTGACAGGTAGTGACCAGCTGCGTTGTACTTACTTGTAGGTTGCAACATAGACCCTGAACACTACCTCCAGACTCTGATGAGAACGATCGAGTCCGTCTACACATGATCCTGGTACAGGTCATGGTCTTGATTCATCGCTGATCACCAGGGAACCCGAGCTCGTGGCCGCGAAGGCATTCGAAGGGATAAAACAGATTTAACTTTATAGAGAGTTCAAGCATTTATATAGTGCGAATAGGCACAATTACAACTATAGCAGTGAATAGAACAATAGAGGTCTCAAACTTATAGCAACCCCAGCAAAAGTTTATTCAAGTTTCAGGTGTTGGATTCTTTCCCCACCGCGCCCGTTTTGGCGCGGCGGCGAGGCCCAAGCGGTACAGCGGTTGAGGCTTGAGCCTGAAAAGATGAGGCTTCTGCTCTACTCGTTGACTCTACAAAGTCGTAGGCTTTCAGCAGGACCAGCAGCAAAAGGATGAGAATCACTGCCTGAAGGCCCATGCTGCAAAGGACTCTACAAACTATGCAAAAAACAGCCGTCAAAACAGGTGACAAATATAGAACAATTCATATTGATAAATCAACCCAAGTGGCCCATACAAGAGGTGCTTCGTCTTGGCACTCTGTACATCCTTGGCCATTCCAGTTTTGCCCTGCATCACACATGGCGCACGGGATGCCCATGAGACCTCCGGCACATTCTCCCGGTCCACCACCGGGGCAGTGCTCTGAAGGCTCACCTCATCGTATCACGGCCCTCTGAACCACGCGATGGACCTGTGAGGCGATGGACCTAAGAGCGGCCTCCAACCTAAGAGCGGTGGCCTCCAAAGGCTGGAGGCTCCCTCCCTCTTGGCCGAGAAGCATTTATAAAGGCTCAAGGGCTCTGCGGGCTCGGAATAGTAGCCTTCCATGACCTGCAAACAGAGGTGAGACTTGCAGCACCCAACCCGCGAGAGTTGGGGCCAAACCTCGCCGTCACGAGGTTCGAACGTCCAAAGATTCCAACGGTTTACCGGTTTACCATGGCTTTCGGTGGAACTGTGAGCTTTTGTATCAACCGCGCTCATCGTCCCCAAGCATCACATTGTTAACCGGAAGATAGACGTACTAGCGATGGCCTCCAATCGAAAGATCCAGGAAAAGCTAGGCTTCTAGGCTTCTTGGCTCATCGTTCTCCAAAGCAAAAACCCTCACCTTCGGCGACGCCCCGGTTTCTGCAGCTGGGACCCTGGGACCTGCGGCGGATGTTGAGCTTGTGGGTCAGCCACTTGATGTTGCAAACTGGGCAAGCTCGAGGCAAAGGGGCAGTGGAGGCCCTTGGGGCAAGGCTGGCACAGGAAGCCACCTGGAGCGAGCAGAAAGAAGGCTTGGCTTGGCCAGATGTTGGACGGGGTTTGGCTTAGTTATGCAATGTGTGAAATTAGGCAATATGTCTTCCTGCAAATCATTGGTCTATGTTAGTGATAGTGCAGGGCCCAGAAACCATTGGGGATGTCAAAGCCCCCCAACCATCAACGATGCTTTTGGGTGTACCTTTGCTACATTGACAAACACTAAGCCATCACAAGGAAAGACCAAGCACCACGAATATACCAGTTGCGAAGATTCCTGCATTGAGGGTGTTTGAAGTCAGCAGGCTAAGGTTGGAATCGCCCACTGCTCTGGGCCAGTTAAGCGCATAGCTATGTGATGTCACAGCGAGACTCAGGAAGACGCATCTCAAGATTGAATGGTTTTCAATTCCAGTGCTGTTCATGAGACAACACGTGCTAGCTGCGAACGACCCTGCAAAAAATGCTGAGACTTTTCGAGAAGCATTCCACCGCGTGGCGTTTCTCTTCAATGATCCCTATGACTTTCAGAGCACGATCCACCTACCATGTTGACTCTGCCGGACTCTGCCTCGTTCCGCCATGTTGATGGTCGTCGCCAGACAGCCGCAATCGTGAATAGACCTCGAACCCATCCTCGGTGAATCTCCGCAGCTTTGGCCACTCTGAAGCTCAAAGGATCTCAAACACCAGTTTCACGCATCGCTCGTTCGGTCGACTCGTTCCCACCAGTGGTCAGACCTGGTCGGACCTGGACACTCATGTTGCTGAAGCTTCCAATTCCCTGAGTTCGAAACGCACTTTCTTCGGCTCCGAAATGTCAACGTGATGTGTTGACCTAACTCAAGGGCAACTCGTTTCTCGAACATGCTGCTGCTGCTGCTGCTGCTGCACCCACTCCGAAGCTCCAACCCAACCCGACATTGGGATGAATAATCCCATAAACTTCCAAAAAGGTGACAACCATCATCAAACCCAAATGGGTGGGGGGGTGCTAGCCATAGAGGATATGGGCATGGGCGGCATGGGTATGTGAAAACCATCATCAAGCAATCTCCACATCGCCCCCGCAGAATCAACGGCTGATTCATGCCTTCTCCACCAAGAAACCCACCTGTCGTCGTTTGAACTGGGCATTGCTTGCACCCGCTTTGGCCACTGATGTCTTGGTATTCTCCAAAGCCACACCTGCACAAGTCAAGTGTTTCTTTCCACCTTAGAACTCTCCTTTTCATCCGTTTTCCCTTGCTTCGCCGGGTGGCATCTCAACGCTGAAAACACCATGAACGTGTCACCAACCTTTGAACCAAAACACCCGAACGGTTTCCAACTGTTTTGAAACAGGTGAAACCTTGCCATGTTTCCCATTAATTGGTACAGATCCAGTGGCGCCTTTTGCAGGACTTGCTGCCGGTTTCATCCTGATATTCGCCAGTTCCACAGGGATCGCAAGCGATGGACGCTCCAAAGACCTGCCGTGCCAAGATCCCGCCGCGAGGTCCCGCCGCGGGCACGACCGTACATCCTGACCTGACCGGCGACCATGGAATTAACAGGCGACCGGTCATAGTACATAGTCTTGATATAGTTATATAATGAATGGTACATGGATTGGATGGGATGGGACAGTTGTACATTGGGAAAAGACAGTTGGATTGGCATGGATTGGTCGATTTCTGATCCGCACATCGACACGGTCAATGTAACGACCCAGAAATCGAATGCTCCATGTGCTTCTTCGTCCTTGGAAACCGGGACAACAAAAGCACCCAAGTCAAACCAGGTTGGAGGCCATCGCTCTTAGGTTGGAGGCCATGAGTCTAGTAGGTTGGAGGCCATCGCCATTAGGTTGGAGGTCTCCTGCTGCTGTGAATGAAATCTTATATGGACCAGACAGGACAGTGCAGTGCATCCAGTGCATCCACGGAACTAGCTCACAACCTAGCGCGTGTGGAGCCCCCAGTTTCAAGCCATTGCAGCAAATTCTTGTTTGGCACAGCCAAATCATCCGAAAGACCCTTCACCCATGTGCAGTTTTTGGAAACACCCTTCACCCGTGTGCACTGAACTCGGCGACCTGATAAGTGCCGACATCGCATTCTTGACAAATGAAGGTGCTGCCATCATGGTCCTGACCGCTGATGGTGCCGGACAAAGAGGCCGCCGTCTGAACCAGGTTGACAAACGGAGTGCCCCCCAACATCCTGGTCCTAGTCTTGCTTTCCAAGACCTCAATCCATTTAGGCGTCCATGCTATTAGGAACAAGAAGCTACGTTCGGGGCTCCTGTCCTTACTACTAGGAGCGATCGGATGCTATTCGTGTCTGGATCCTAAGTGACAATCCTCTGTTGGAAAGTGCTTTTTTCGCGTCTTCGCTGCAACGGAAGTTCGGCGCGAAGAGGTTGCGTGGACATACTCCAGAGTACAGGAGCCCTGCACCACAGCAGACTGCACACAGGATCTAGGTTTGCCCCCCTACCATTTCAGAACTTCGTTGGCCTTTTGACTAAAGGGGCTACACACATCTACACACCTTCCAAGTTCTTGCATCTCGGTCACTTCGAAAAGACTCGAACGTCAGAGACACACCTGCACCCCTCTGGACCTTCCTAGACGAGGGTGTCCTGGCTGGCTCGTCCGTACCTAGGGAAATCCAGCCAGGTGACCCCCGCTTTTTTCGGAAGGTACTGAGGCTGGCTTGTCAAACACGCCGCTCAGCAGCGTCAAATTGATGCAGTTTTTAAGCCTGCGTTTCAATCAATTCTAGACTCCACCCTACATGTGGATGCTAGTTGGGGGTGTATCAAGGTTGGTCTGAGAAAGAGAATTCCCAGCTGGTTTTTCATCCCCTTGCCTTCTCGAGACAAAGGTTTGCATCAAAGGGACACCAATGACATGGGGGCATGAATGGAATTTCATGCTCCCCTGAGGAGTGGCATCAGTCATGAGTGATCAACCTCAATCAACTAACCTAACCTTTTTCGGTTTCGCCTCTTTGCACAGCCTACTGAAAAACCAACTCACTAGCAGTGTCTTTTTATAGCCGAACAAAAAACCTGTCTAGTCTGAACTTCTATGGACCATGTAGCGATAGATCCATCGAACCACGGAAGAAAAAAGGAGTGGTCCTCCAAGGGTAGTGAGAAGAAACCCGGTCGGCAAGGCTGACAGCTCAAATCGGTCTCGGAGGCGCGGCTCTTTACAAAGATTTCCTCAGGTTCACGCTGAGACTTTTCTCACCGTGTAACATTGCAAATTCATATGTCATGCAGGTACCAGTTCTGACTTTTCATTATCGGCGGCGGCATGTGACGTACATGTTGTTTTTCTTAGGATTACTATTTATGGGATTCAGGTGTGGCGAAACTGCTTTCGAAGTCTTTTTTGGGGGGAGACAGCTGCGGGTTTTCATTGGGAGTGATGGTGGGTCAACCCGTGCCAACGGATCTATGATGGTTTTCACCATTCAAACCTCTTCAGGCGGCTTGGTGGGTTGAAATTATGTTGACATATATATATATATATATATCAAGCCCTACAGGTCCAAACCCAGTAAAACCGGGTCCTTTGCCTCCTTGAGTAGTGATTTTGATTTTGTATGATCAACTTCAATAAAGTGATGTCTTTGACCTGTAGGGAAGAGTCTACATTACTAGCATCAAATCGTGGTAGATGGCGGACGGTCGAAGAAACGGAGCGAGCAATTTCGTGGCCTGAACTGGAACGGACAACTGGAGCCAATGAACCCGGAAAAGAGATTGAACCGTAACTGATCCTGGATTAGCAGCTGACAGCATGACTAGATTCTTTTTGGTACGGTTTGGTGAGAGTGCGAGAGCGGGTCACTTCGACCATCTCCGAAAAATCGCGTCCGTGACATAGTCCGTCGCTCGGGCAGCTCGGGGGATGCTTCTCCAAGCATCTTCCTTGTCGCTGAAGAGCCCATAGCGCGGGAAGCACTTGGTCTTGTCTGGAAGCCACTTCAGCCACCGGTCCTCATTGGCCTTCAGCCATCGGCATGCAGCGGCAAAGAAGGACTCCTTTGACTCAAGTTGGTCCAACCTTGAGTCGACCAGCCACGGTGAAGAAACTTGACATCTGGTTAAGATCTTCAATTCTTGGAGCAACCGACCTTATGAAGAAGCCTTACTTATAAATCGTTTTAACAGATACGTAGCAGCCGCCCAGTGTCGGCCGTGTTTCTTGTGACTGGGGTGTGGACTTCCCTTCCCTCATCTGAAGGAGTTGGACCTTGACTCCTGACATGTACAGACTGCAGTAGGACTCTGTCCGTGCGTCTGTCCAGACTGGGCCGCGGGTTCCGCGGCAGGCTGTCCTGGTTGTTGGCAATTGGGACTGGACATGTGGAGGATTTCAATCTTTTTGGCCGTTAGGACATGGAACTTGTTCCCACTCTTTCACAGTTGACGATTGGAGGACTCTGACTGGAGCAAAGGATGGCAAGCTGAGCCCGGGTTCTTTCTCTGTAGGAAGAGGCACATGATTTCATCTACATCTTGCATCTCCACCAAGTAGGAAGACATGAACTCTTCAATCTCCGGAGCCAGTACGTGCAAGTCCTGGAGAAAAAGGCCGCGGAGAAGAACAAAACGATGCCCAGTGGAAGCAAACATTGATAGAGCCTGATCTGTACCGTCCGGAAGCTTGGCCTCACCGGCCAGAATTTCTGACCTCATGAGTGATTCGGAGGGCAACCTTCGGAACAACGAGGAGCGACTAGGATCTGGTCATTTTCTTCCGGTCCTCTAGTGCAGTCACTGCTTTCACCTTTTCACCACCATTTCACCTTTGCGATGCTCACAGGATGACACCGTCGCGATTTAAAACCCCCTCCCTTCCTGACTCACGTACTTGTCGATGGAAATTGCAGCTGCAGCTGTTCGCTGGATCCCACTCTCATATTCTCGGCGATTGTAGGGTGGGAAAATGATAGGCATCGCCTTCAACCTCTCCGAGTGGTGTCTACACGTCAGTTTCTGACCACGATGACAGAGAGGCAGCAATTCAGCCAAACGGACATGTTCATGTCCGCTTCTTAGAACAGGGTAGCTATAATAGTTTCTCATCCATTCTCTCTCTCGTTGAATGTTTCTCACACCCTGAGTCCTCAAGAACGTCGGGTCTGGCGTCCACCAGTAAAACATCGTCGTGTACTCCATCGGCAGGGACGTGAAGCTTCCCCAAGTGCTTCCCACCGCCCACACCAAAGGCATGCTATGGAAGGTTGCCTGGGGTGAAGACGGCAATCAACACAGCTCAAAGAGTCCCTCTATTTAATTTGCCAAAGCAACCTTGACACACACGCACACAAGAACGGCGCACAAAGACCACCGCGGCCTGCTGCAAATGTGCGAGAACGCTCCACCCGGAACCGCCACTGATCATGGCAATACAACTGGAAGCATTGCTTCGACACGTGGGGGCACGCCAGAAGTAGCCGTCGAAGCATCGGCCGATGACTGTTCCATCACCTGCAGGCGCTTTTCCTGACCAAGAGAGGCCTAGGTATCTAGTAGGGTATTCAAAGCGAAAGAAATGGCCTCCAACCTACTTGCGGCCGCCAGTGAGCATAGCGTCCGAACGCTACTAGCAAAGATCTGTTTGATCATCTAAATGAAAATTGAAGGTTTGACACCCTTTCAACTGCACCGTTTTCGAAGCCTAGTTCATCACCACATTCATCACCACAAATCATGTTCAGTCCAAATCCCTGATTTGGTCCACTAGCGTCTAAGACAAAAATCTTCAATCTCAACAAGCAAACGTGTTTTTCGTTTTTCCCATGCTTTCAGGAGGTCGGGCCTTTCTAAATCAACCGCTGGCCTTGAACGATGACACCCTCGTGATCGCCCGTCACTTTGAGGTACGCGGCCATCTGTCCCACATGCATCCTCAGACCGGCCACTTTGGGAGCCAATGTCAACAAACTTCTCTTGCACTTAAGGTAGCCTAAGAAAAGAACATGCAATCCAAAAGTGATTGACTTAAGTCTGAACACTTAATCAGTAGTGGATCACTTAAGTCTGAACATACAAATCCCAAAGGGCAAAAACACTGATCATCACGGCTACGGCTGAGCGTCAAAGAGGTCTTCTCGCAGGGCAGCAACTTCGACACGTTAATGTCTTGCCTCAAGTGGCAAAAGAAGAAACGCACAGAGTCGAAGGCTTGAAACCACTATAGTGACTATAATGCTATATGTGAACCCTTCGTCTTTCCTGAGAAAAGGGCGGCTTGCTCTTCCTCAACTCCTTGAGATACCCTAGAGGGTGAACCGGAAAACAACAACGGGTACACGTCCCAGATCCTTCCAACGTCCTGAATTCATGCGCAGGCTGCGGTCGGGTGAAGTATCGCCCCGGATCCTCCCACGAGACGTTGTAGTCCTGACGACGTGATGGAGCGACCCCTCAGGGTTTGGACGCAGCGCCCCGTGTTGAAACACGGTTTCCCAGGTGAAACACGGGCGGTTGCTGCCGCAAGCTTCCTGGGGTAGTGGTGTAAATCAGCTGTAGGTCTACAGATGTAGATTGGGAATCTCTATATCATTATGTATTCCCTTCCATTTGGATTGTAAACCTCTTCATATGATATGATGGGTTTCATTACACATCCACCAGATTCCAACAGTCTACATTGCGCTTCTGGTTCGAAGGCCATCATCACCGTCTTGGATGATACATTATCTTTTTCCTGGCGCCGGCGCCGCCCAGCGATCTTTCAACGAAAGTACTCCACGAAAAAACCGTTTGACGTTTAAATTCTTTGAAGCGCTACGATGCTTGCCTGGTGCATCCATTGGACACCATGGACACCCCGGCCAAATAGCTATGACTCTGCTTTAATGGGCTTGATGATGCCTCCAACCTCATAGCGATGGCCTCCAACCTATTCCAACCTAATAGCGACGGCCTCCAACCTAATAGAGATGGCCTCCAACCTAAGAGCGATGGCCTCCAACCTAAGAGTGACGGCCTCCAACCTAGGAGCGATGGCCTCCAACCCAAGAGTGATTCCCTCCAACCTCCCAGGAGCGATGGCCTCTAACCTAAGAGCGATGGCCTCCAACCTGAAAGCGATGGCCTCCAACTTAGGAGTGCGAAGCATATGACCCCAAAAAGAAGGGAATCCTAGGGGGCCCATATACCTCAAAGATCAAACATAGGAACAAAACGTGGATCCATCTCCCACCCTCCAAGACGCGTCGAATGCATGGAACCTGACATCAGGATGGAAATCAAGTTTACCTAGGTGGTTATCAACACTCACCTGGTTCACTGGTGGTGAATTATCTCGACATGGAACACAGTCCTTAGGGTTACATATTTCCACACCCCCTTTCGAGATAATTCTAGTGCTCTGCGCTTAGACATCTTAGGTGTGCACAGTCGAGGAGGCGGTCTTCCAACCTGCCGTGAAAGCGTGCAAAGGAAAAAACGAATGCTCTGCATTTGCGGGAAATGCGAACAACCAATTCGATGAGAAGTCGAAAAAATCACAATTTTCCTCTTCTTCGACCGAGTGCTGTGGGAGCTCGACTCAACCACAAAAAGACACGTTCATCAGCTTCCGAAAGCATTTACCGGTGCGTGGAACACAAAAAGGACATGGGGTCTTATACTATACTCCAGCAAAGTTTGGAATCATCGTGCACCGGGTCTTGGTCGAATGAAGTACCCCTTCAATGGCTGCCAAATGCTCCCTCTTCGGCCGTGTGCTCGGGAAGCAAAGGTGGCACATGTTCCACATGGTGGCATCCTTGAGGCGGTAGCGAATCACCTGGCAGTCGCCAAGATGGAAGGCTTTTCCAGACTTCGTTGTGAAGTAATCTCGTACTTGATCCACCACGGGTGGCTCTGGAACAGAAGCATCAGTGATCTGAGCAGGAACATCATTTGGAGGAGCTTGATCTCTTGTGTCGTGTGAGGAGCTTGAACCAGCAACAAAAGCAGGATCTTCAGCTTCACGCACATCAGAGGTCGCTCCCGACTTTCCTTTCCTCAAGCGCTTTGCTAAATGCATGCGCTTCTTTGCGCTCATTGGAACATGCAAGCTCTCCTCTGCGACTTCATCATCAAAGGAGGAACCAGCAGATTCCGAGGACTTGCGCTGTCGCTTCGGCATCATGTAACAGCATGCGGCCAAAAACAGGAAGCATTGCATCACAAACATGGCGAGGACAATCAGTTCAAGCATCTGTTCACGAGATATTTCGCTTTGAGCAAAAGATCTACCAATTATAAGGTCGCTCCAAAGCTGCTGGCATGCTCAAACTCGATTGGAAACCCTTGCAGCTTACCGACGGTGTACAAAATAGCTGGTGGTTCCCAAGTTGGATGGTACATTACGTACCCGGATCCCGCCTTCGGCGTGTATGTCTTCTGATGGATCGATCGAATGGCCTCCATAAGGACATTGACCAACAATTCTGGATATCTTCCAGTCTTACGCCATTGTGACGCATTGAAGCTCTCATGCGAAGAATGCTCACATTCAGTGAAAGGGTGCAAACATTGAATGGCACCTGGATGCGTGCTGATGAACAAAAAGCTCTTCGCCACACGGTGTCCTCCACAAGCACATAACTTCGGAATATTGCAAAAGATGGGGACACCACAGTGTGTGATAAAATCCTTCAAGACTTCGTCTTCCAATACGTGTTTACAAACTACAAGCGGTTTACATTGCGCAAGCAGTGTGAAAAACTTCTCAACATGTTCACTCTTCAAAGCCTCATTGTCCGAGAGGTTTTGTAAAGAGCTTCCTCCTGTGCACGGCAAAGAAATATGAATGTATGAGAACCTATTTGGTACTCTGTGATGTGCACTCAACATGCGAATGATCTGATCTTGGAATTCCTCCAATGGCGAAGATTCGGTGCAACGCACGATCAAAGCTCCATAGGGGCAACACTTGCCAAATTGCTGTTTGGATAGCCACAGATTTCAAAAATCAAGATCTCATAGCTTGATACCACGTCTACGAGACTAGAAGCTTCAATGATGGCACTCTCAGTCAACGACAGGACGGAACCATTGGTTCGGTCCTCGCTCTCAGCGACACAAGTGGTCTCGATTTCAGCAGCGAAGATAATTTGCTGGTATTCTTTCGATTGGATGAGGTTGCCACTGCTGTTCCGTGAGCTGCTGGGTCTGTTCATCTTCCTCCAAAAATCCCATGGAAACTCTAAATTGGTTAAACAACTTGACCCCCAAGGTGTTTGTTAAGATATCGGCCACTTGCCATTTGCCATCAACCCAAACAAGTCTTACACGTCCACGTTTCACTAAGTCTTGACAAAAACAAATACGACGTTCCACGTGATGAGATCGCTTCTGCAGTCCAGAGGCTTGCAGGACTCGAGTGGCGGCTTGTGAGTCAGTCCTGATTTAGACAGGAATTACCGTATCATCCTTGTTGATACCAAACAAACGGATGAACAATTTGTTGAAAGTGACAGCTGAACACATAGAATCAATCAGGCCTTCAACGTGAGCTTGCGTACTGAGATGTTCGGCCAGTCGGTTTAAGCCTCAGATTCTTGAACACATTCGGCAATTGCTGAGAGTTCAGCTTCACATGAGCTGGTAGCTACAATGCTCTGGATTCGGCTGAACGCTTTAACCAAACTACCTTTGTAGAATTTTGCCATGCCTGAAATCGACCTTCTCTTCAGACTCCAAAGTGGAGCCCAGGAAGCGTCACTGTAAATCACGATCCTGCTCCCTGAGTTCATATTGTCATCACTGAGTTGGAATTCAGGCGAAGGGAAATGCTGGACAAAACTTCGATGACTATGCAGCCAACGCAAAAGAGATCGGAGCGCTTGCTCGTGCTTCACTAGTGGCTCAGACATACCTGTAACCAAAAGAGAGTAGTAGATATATAGGTGCAAAAACGTTTGGGTCATCCAGCCTAATTTCCCCAATGCAGCGCGAAATCGGGTCACGGCCTCAGCCGTTAGCGGCTCGTTCTTTTCAGGCTTCTCTTCATCAAGGATTGGACGCAGATCGGGTGGTGCATCACTACCTCTACAAATTTTGAAAGCCTCGAACGTCGAATCTAAATCATTGGGATCCAATCTCACGGTAAGCCTACTTTGTTTCGGTTTACGTTCGATGGTCCTTCCTAGAAATCTGAGGGATCCACCTCCGGCTTTGCTTGTTTTGATCATTCCAGTCTTCTTGACCTTGAGTGATTTAGACAAACACTCAAAAACAAACATGGCTGCCTCTTCAGAGCGGGCAAAGACAAGAAGATCATCAACATATGCAATGACAAGAATCCATTCCGGTTTCTGACCCTTTCGAATGGTGACTTCCCCTGCAAAAATTGTTGACTCCAACGGCGATGGGGAAATGTTGAAAGACTGGAGAAGGTTGGCCAAGTGCTCGACCCATGCGAGACCGCTGGATCGAAGACCATTGATGGCCTTGTAGGCCTCCATGAAGACAGGACTGCCGTCTGGAAAGGTGATGTTTGTTGGCATTCTGAGGATCACTTTGATAGGTTTGCCTAGCTTTTGACCTAATGGTGACGCCATGAATGCTGCTGACGCGTCTAGTCCAAGAATGACCAAATCATTTGCGGCGGCCTCCGAGAGCATCAATCGAAGTGACTTGATCGAAGATGTTGGGCTTGAGACCATGAGGTCCCTGGCCGAAAGCTGTCCCTTGGCAATCTCCCTTGCCACCAATCTCATTCGCGCATTGGTTGGGTCTTTCTCTACACAGACCCACCTGGTGGTGATAGGGGATATGTTCCACAGGCGACAAAGCTCCTTGGCCAACTTCTCATCAAGGAGACGACCGACCTTTTGAGAAGTCATTGAGTTGGTTTCAGTTTTCATTCCTTCCCACGACAGTTCACAGCTTAGGTAACGGCCATCGGCGTCGCTAGTCACATAGCCGGGGTAGATGAGTTTGACCTCTCGGTCGCAGAGGGTAACTTCTTCACTATAGTTGTCTTGCCCTTTGATCTGGTACACACTTTGCATCAATCCAATGTGGCGAGTCTCTAAACGATCAAGCTCAAAAGAGTTCAATGCTGTTACGAGTGATCCCAATTGCATGGCATCTGAATCATTTGGACTTGTTGATAAGGTCGGTACCGATAAGTCTACGAAGTCAGATGCACTGATTGGTGGAGACAAGTCACCTGGAGAAGGGCTAGTCATCTCGACATCAACAATTGAATCACCCTGTGGCTCTGTGAGATCAACATCTCCGCATCGAAAAGATCTTCATGATCAACCGGGCCTGATGGTGCACTTGATGGAGTATAATCACAATCATCCATGAGACCCGCTTCAACCTCAAGACCCCCTTCAAACTTGGGCTCCGTTTTGGGGGCGAATCTTTCGTTCAACGGGACTGAAGGCTCTGGC